TTAGATGGATCAATATTTCCTGGTATCACTTGAGATGACATAGTTTAGATGGATCAATATTTCCTGGTATCACTTGAGACGACATAGTTTAGATGGATCAATATTTCCTGGTACTACTCATAGCTGTCATTTAGCTTTGAAATAAAATCATCAGTTGCAAACCACACCTTCACTAGGCATACTCGACTAATTAAGAAATATTCAAAAATTGGGTTTTTGTATTTTACCCGATTCACATCCTGTACTATTTGTTGTTTTTTTTCTGAATTTCACACAAGTAAATGGTTATACAGTTGAGAAGACTGACGATGAAAACCTTATAAAGTAGTCCTCGTAAGTAAGTAAGGTGACCGACTCGAAGCTGTCCACAGTAGTGAATTTGTTCAAAGGTATCTGGATAACTAACGTGTTATCACAACTTTACGTATCACTGTATTTTACAAAAGCAAAAAATTTATATACATTTCAAAATTGACTCTGTGTATAAGAATAATATATTAATTTTTGGAAGATAAATTTTAACTAGTCACTTGTTACAAGCAAAGGCTAGCTTCCGTAAAGAGAGGTAGTGGTGTTTTCTTTTGTAGCATTGTATGTATTGACTCTGTACCACATGTAATATGTGGTTAAATACTTGTTTATGCTACAATGATAAAATGGTTTTCTCCAGGTCACTTACACTGTTATGTTACATGTGGTTAAATACTTGTTTCTGCTACAATGATAAAATGGTATTCTCCAGGTCACTTACACTGTTATGTTACATGTGGTTAACTACTTGTTTCTGCTACAATGATAAAATGGTTTTATCCAGGTCACTTACACTGTTATGTTTTTATTTTACAATGCGTGTATTGTTATTTCAGCTGTGATTAATCAGAATGCATCAAAATCTGAAGCTCGCACGTGAAGCTTACAAATTGTATTTATTTTTGTTACGATTCACATTGACAAGATTTGTTGATGATTAAGTACATCAACTTGCGATTGCACCCCCCCCCCCAAATTAGGAGAGCCTAACAGAAAAGCATCACTGTTACACCTTTACCATGTGAATGTGTGCTGTAGAGCTATAGTACAGTCCAGCAATTGCGATCCATATATTACTGCATTTTCATTTTAGAAAAATCTAAGAATTTGTCCAGTTAAATTTCAAATGGTGTTGCTGTTACTGATTATAACTATGTAATACGTTGTATTTAAAATACACATTTACTATACGAGGATGGTAAATAATGTATAATTTTATGTTTGTTTTTTGCCTCCAATCTCATTCGTAATGTAATGATGGAAGATTTCTATAATGTTGATGAAAGACATTCGAACACTTACTGGTTAGTTAGAATAATAATAATAAAAAAAAAGATTGGATTTTAATAGATTTTCTGTAAACTAACAAATCATCCTTTGGAATGATTTTTACTCCACTTTTACAAGCACTGCAAGGAATTCAGGAAAATGCTTTATGTAGAAATTATTGATAAAGAACATTTAAGAGTACTAGCAACAAATTTTTTAAGTAAACTTTGGTATTTGATTCGCTTAGTTAAATATTCTGGCTGACTTTAACCAGCGAAGTGATTATATTTTCACTGTCATTCGAGATCCCATGATCTGTGATACTGTAGGGGAGGAGGAGGAGGAGAAAAAAAATTGAATAACAGGACTCTGCAATTTTTTCTTATCATACTTTGTTGTAGTTTAATATATTTTTAGAAGATTGAGTATCTTTTGGTAGTTTGAATAAATATTCCACGAAGAAGTGCCTCATTATTACACAAAAGTTATTTGTAAGCAAAATACCAGTCTGTAACTAAAGATTTGTTTATTCATTTTTTATATATCTGTTTTGGTAGCTGATTTGATAGAGAACAATTTAACCAAAAATCAATTATATAGGACTCGAACGAGCTTCCGATTTATTCTGTGATAAAGTCTATTCATTCACATACTCTAGAGTTTTGTTGATAAAGACTGTAAACAATGTATACCGTTTATTTCGATTGTAGTGTTTAAGGTTGATTTAATAAAGTGAATTTTGTAAAAAAAAGTCAAAGTAAATATTGATTCATTGGCATCAAACTATGAACTTTTATAAATTGTATGGAAATACTCATCTTTTACATGTACTAATTTCAGAAATCCACTTTCACAAATTCAGGTGCTTCATCTTGGAAGAATTTAACAGTACTGAATTTCAAAAATTCATTGCACCTTTTATTTGTGAACCTGTGTGCTAACTTTTATCAGAGTTGGTTATTGACATGCTCGCATTATAAACAGTTTGTGCTTAAGCCACAAGAATTAATTGAAGACGTGTGTAATGTGGTCCTAGTTTTCACAAGCCATCTAGTTCACTAATACAAAACAATGCCAATTATAAGCATCATGTTTTATTTCACAAACATCACATAAATTAAAATAACATTCTGTATAGCTATAAATAATCTTATAATCAATTTTTTTTCAGTTGCTTATTGTATAAGTAAAAGTAATCTTACCATTCAGCTTATAATTCTTGCAGAATAAGCTATAAGTTTACAATAAACATCTATAGTTACCCTTTTTCGTCAATAAACCGTATAACAAAACTTGATTAAGTAGTCATATTGAGAAGTTAATCAAATAAATATGGGCTAATATATTCACATACCAAACACACAAGTATTGATTCATTGTATAAACATGAATCTAGCTGTCATATTTTAAAATACATGGCAAGCTAAAATGTTAAACTAAAGTTCAATGATCAAATTTTTACACATCATATATATCCATAGAATTACCCTGCATTAACTGCAGATGTGTAATGATGTACAACTGAAAAGTTAACAGTTTAAACAACAAGCATTACATTTTCATAAATATATTCACACACACACACACTGCAGTAGAATGACCACTTTTTAACGAACCGTAATTGTAAACCTTCAACACCTTTTCTGTGTTTATAGGTCAATAATTGAACTTAATTTTCACTATAAGGTTATTTAATTTCTCTAATATACATAAAGGAGAATTAGTGAAGTGTCACTGTTGCCAATTACATGAAGTTAGTTGATATAAAGTGTTTTTCTAAATTATCGTTCGTCATGTGTCGGCTAAAAAGTTTCTTATTCGATTCAATGAGTGATTTAGCTTTACATAAACTCAGTTAAAATCGACGACAAATATTTCTCCTTACGATTGAAGTCTTTGTCATCTCGGTATAACAAGGAGCAGAAGCATTAAACTGATTTCTGACTGAGTAAAGATACATGTCTATTGAATTCTCCTAACTAGCAGACATTTGATCGTCTACATTAAGAAACAAAAGGAAAAATTTATATCCTAAAATTACTGACAAGGTCCATATGTATCACATCAGATTTTTAAACACATTTTTCTTAACTGTTTATCCAAAAAGTTGTTTATTGGTCCATTATTTTGATGGTTGTAGGATCCCTAATAATATACAAATCACACACACACAATTTAAGCAAAAATATCATCAGTACTGTAATTATTCGCACTATTCACTGCTATAGTTTCATATCTATTTTACATAGAAAATGTGTGATTTTTATCAAACTTTCCGGGTCAGTTCTTTACAGTTCGTGTTATGACAGGCAAAACATTAAATTAGCTAATATAATGCAGTATGTTGACCAAACTGGTAGCAAACACATATCAATAAGTTGGTAATTTTGATGCCTCATAAAAAATGTTTTATATAACACAAACAAACATTAAACCTGGATTCTCTAACTGTCGATAAATCTTATTCTTTGGATTCAGCTCTATTTTATAAACAATCTCAAAAAAAAAGAAGAAAAACTGCAGTAGAATTATTACAATTTAAATGTCTTGAAATAATAAAAATTTTTTATTATGTAAGAAATGTTTACAGCAGATATATTTGCTATTTGTGTGTTTACAAAAAATAGGATTTCAACTATATATGTATTCCCGCTCTGTGTTTTTACAGCAAACACTTGGTAATACATGCTAAAAATATACAAGAATATGAAAGCCAAATTAGAACAATAATTGCTATAACTTACGAGTGATTGTGTTGTATAGATTAAGATGTTAACCAAGCTTCAAAGAAAGTTAAGAGTTCTAATCCAAACATTATAGTCTTACATCGTACAAAGCAGTTACAAAGAAATTCTGGACTCACAAACATCATGGGACTTCTACGTGGATAGCAATTTGTTTAGAAAAACCAAATGGTATAATATTTAGAAAACCCCTAAACCACTTGAGTGAAAATGAAGTCCTGATATGAATGACAAACTAAATCACAAAACTCTAAATGTTTGATAATGAAATTATACCACGTAATCCACCGATTTGGTTAAATACTCGAAAATAATTTGTTGCTCCAAAATTCTCAACTAGTATCATTTATATATATATGATGTTAATTTCAGCATATTTAAGTTTACAAAATCCAAATGAATCACTTTTATGGACACATGCCAATTTTCGTTGAGGTCAAAGGATGAGGAATGAATAAAATCCACATCAGTGAATTAACGAATATTTACTAAAAACCTTAAGAATTCATTTTGTTTAATTAAGATCAATAACTACAATGAATATTTCAACACAAAGTTATTTTGTAAAGTAAATCCTGGATAAAATTTTGATTTCAACTTCATTTAGGGTTATTTTGGACGATCTGATCGTAGGAATGAAATCACCATGAGTTAAGCCTGGTGGACCCCCTCATCTTTCTGACAAATACAATATGCCCTTTCAAGTATGTTAAACAATGTGACCACCATATTCCTTCCATGACATCAATCGTTAGACATATTTTGCTACCAACTTCATTTTGATCACACTTTGAAATTTGGTGCAAAATAGTGAAACCTACCCAAAAAAGGCAAACAATAGCTGCTTATTCAACGACGAGGAACCAACTTTGAGACTAATAATGCTTGGAGACGGCTTGAA